CTTTTCACACACAGTTCGGAGGAGGGGGCAATGTCCTGCTGAGTGAGGCACAAACGGTGTCACCCTCATGTACACAGGGTACATGCCCCTGTTCTGAACAGCATGTGACTTGTTGCCCTATTTTAATCATGTACAATATGGTGAAAAATCACACACCTGTCACAAGACCTTCAGACCAGAGGGGCATTTCCAGCAGAATGGTTTCTGAATGGTGTCAGTCTCATGAACCCAGTGAACATTGCCCTCTGGTCTGAACAGTGTTTGATAGGTGTGTGATCTGTCACCGGATTGCGCTCGAGTGCACTGCGGTGACATATCACACACTGTTCAGACCAGAGGGTTTTTCCAGCTGAATGGTGTCTGAACTGTGTCACCCTCATGTAAGGTACTTTAATTGGAAATGTAGAAACAAAATCATGACTGAGTTTGACTAGAATTCAGCATGGCTTCAACAAACGTGAATGATAGTTGGCAGTGAACAGTTACATTTTATTTAACAAATATATTGTGTTATATAATGAAATAGTTCAACAAAAACATGGTAATGACTTCAAATGAACTTCAGGCAAAAAGTAACAAAGAATTAAGCTATGGCACTCCCTGGGAAGTGCCCCCAAAGCTCCCCTGGTGAAGCTTTTTGCAAAACACAATATATTTTACTAAATCATACTACTCAGATTGTATCAATTTGAGTTAAATTGCTTGGAAAGAATTTCTTGATTGGGCTGTTGCCTTAAGAAGGGTAAGATTATCCAAGGATGTCATATGGTATCTGTAATGATTAAGGAGATAAAGAGAACAGCCACACACCAATTCAAAAGACTTAGCCACTGGAATCAGGTAGTCTCATAGTTGTGAATAAAGCTTAATTGATGTACTAACTCAGTTTACATCAAAAATCAAAGGATCATATGAAGCTCTCTACTTCAGATTCCTCCCGACCTGCCTTTTCAATACCATAATTAAATAGCAGCTCTCTCTCTCTCTATCAAGTCAAGCTCTGACCTCAAGGTGATTACAATACTGACAGAAAAGAACCAGGAAGAAAACTTGACCTGTGAGCTTAGTGGCAGCCGTTTTTTGTGTCAAGATCCCAGAGGCAGCATTGTCAATCTGGCAACAACACAGCAACAGCAATCTTGATATCCTGGAGTGCAAGAAAATTGATGAATGTTATGTTTCTTTGGGCCACAAGCTCCATTCCCTCATCAATCAAGTCATCAACATAAGTAATAGGGGCATCATTGCAATAACCAAACACATGTTCATTTGAAACAGGTGTGTTTCTTTATTTTATTTCTGTCAAAATTGTGATCATCAACCCAGAAACCATAGTGCTTGGGTTTATGATTCCGAAAACGGCGCATGACGTCATACCAGTCTCCCATAGCTTAGTTGGTAGAGCGCAATGCTTATATTGTGGCATTCTTCGGAAGCCCATATGCTTTGGAAAGCACAATCTCGAAAGAGACGTTGATGTCAGGGGTTCGAGCCCCCTTGGGAGAAATGTTTTTGTCAATTTTTCGTTGCTAAGAGTCTCGAGGACATCCCAGTTTTTTGTGCCTCGAGTGCTGTATGGACCAGGTCCAATTATCTTCGCATGCTCTTCGGAGAATGGGGTGGTCCGGTTCCGATGTATGATTGCCAACTCCTTGCTTTCCTTTGAAGTTTGACAATACATGAAGCATTCTTAATTCGTAATGCCTTGTTTGTTGCAGTGCACCTGATCTGCATACAGATGTCTTGACTTTTTGAAGAAAGATTATATGTTAAGCATTATTCAGGCGGTTTGAGAGCTTACAATTTCCAGTAGAGATCAAGTTCCCGATTGTTTGATAGTCTGAGCAAAAAACCCATTCAAGTGGCCAGTATTCATTATAAGATCCACACTCTTGCTCTCCGAGTCGCAAGCTATAACTAGATCAGGCCTTCCGAAACCTATCTATTTGGGTTATGATGATGGGGTTATCGGATCTAAATCAACAGACTCAGCGCCAAGCCCTTATCTGATATTTTCCAAGGACCGCTCGTCAATAACTATGAGCGGCGATCAGAAGCTTTTTAGGCAAAACTGATCCAAGCTCAAGGCAAAAAATATGACAAATGTTTCTCAGTAAAAAAACTTACTTCTTTACACAGAGAAAAAAAAGCTTGCAAGAAGTCCTTCCAGTTTTCCTGCTTTGTAAGGTTGTCAATAAATGAGTTTTTCTATTTTTTTTTGATGAAATACCGACGTAAAGGGTCTTATAAAAGCACAAGAAACCTAGAGAGACGCTCTAGAGTCTTATGAACACGTGAAGCTTCAGATCCATTGCTGAGCTCTGGCATCTTTTTTCGTATTTTGTCAGGTAAACACCAGCATTTCTTGGTGAATTGGTTGATCAAGGTTCCTGCAAAAAGAGTCCCAGTCAAAACCGAAGAAATCTTTAAGAGCCAACCAAAATCGTCAAGACTGATTTTGTTAATTCTCATGTTAGTGGTCCATGTGACCCCCCCCCCCCCCCCCCCTCTCGATCAAAAAGGGGAAGAGCTGTACTTCGATAGAAAGCAAACCATATCTTTTTCGTCATTTGATTCTAGTCTACTAGTCATCAAACAAAAAAAACAATAATAACATAAAACAAAAGAAAACTAAAGGGGACCAAAAGCTTCTAACTCGGACCGAATCCCAAGATCGAACCCATTGACCAGAACAAAAGAAAAAAAAAAGAAACAAGAGAAAAGATCTGGTAAGAGTTGTTGGTAACTAAGAACAAACCCTATGAGGGTTTTTTTTGTAGTTTCTTCTAATTTGTAGTCATATAGATAGAGAGATAGGGAAAGGTAAATGGGTGGGTAGAATATGTATGAATGAACTTATTTTTGGGAGCGGAACGAAAGTACGGATTTGGGCAACCAAGAGACAAGAGTAGACTACCATCTGGAGGCACCTCTTCCACTCGGGGTTCTTGAATTAGCTCCCGAGCCAGGTTCGGTACGATTCTGGGGAGGTTTGTAGGCGTTTCCGGAGCCACCCGTTCCGGTGGAAGGAGGCGGAAGATTGTCGCGGCGGGTGCCCGAGGCGGAGGAAACGCGACTGAGGCCGCCGACCGGGCTGGTGCTCTCGCTCTCCTCGCCACCCTTCATTGCCAGTCGCTCTCGCCAGCCACCCGCCTTGGTCGCACCGGGCAGGATCGTCGGCCGCTTGAGCTCAGCTACCACCGGTGGTCGGGCTTCAGCCGCCGACGCCGCTACCCCACTCACTATCGCCCCCGCCTCCGCGCCTGCTCCGATTCCTGGTCCCGTTCGTCGCCATGGTTCAGCCGTCGGTGCTGCCGGCCCACTGCTTGCATGATAACATCATTCCTCATCAATATTGAGCATGTGTGCCTCTCGAGTCAAGCATTTCACTTACGCGGAAGGTGGAGCAGCGGCTCGTTCGGCGAGTTTTTTATTTTCTCTCTTAGCCATAGCTTCGGCTTCTCTCTGGGCTTGTTTAGCAGCCATCTAAAGAGATGAATTTGAAAATGGTCAGTCTTCCACAAAAGGAAATCGGACAGTTAGTCAAATGTGAAAAAGATAAGGGGGCTTACTTCAGCAGCAGCAGCCCTCTCTTTCTCACGTTCCTCACGCATGGCTTTAGCTTTAGCCTCGGCCTCGGCCTTGAGGATGCGCTCCTGCTCGTCAATTTCTGCCTGCTTCTTCTTGCGTTCCTCTTCGAGTCGCTCCTCCTCCTCCTTCATTTTGAGCTCCTCGGCCGCCTTGGCTTTCGCAAGCTTGCGCTCCTTGACCACCTGGGCACGACGCTCGATCTTCGCTTGCTCGATCTTGATCAGCGATTCTTCCTTGGCTTTCTTGTAATCATGGCCTCGTTGGTTGGCTATCCGTTCTTTGAATTTGAGGAAGTCGGGCATCATCTTCTGCAACTTGTGTTTGATCGTCACCTCATTTGCGTGCTTAGTTTGCAATCCTTCGACAAGTTCCTCTTGTAACTTCTTCATATTCGTCTCATCCCTGATTTGTTGGAGTTTGTAGTCCTCCGCCAACAGGGGAATCTCTTCTCGTCGCATGGCTCGTTCGGTATGATCTAATCGTTTGTTGACCGTTTTCATTTTCGCTGCCAACTCTTTCTTCTCCTTTTCGATTTGTTCGACTCCCATTTGAATGATCGTGTTGGTATCTACGCCCTTCAAGTTCTGAAGAATAACAAATGAGTCAAGGTTCAGTCATGTGGGTATAAGTTATCTACCATAGCTAGATAAACTGATGAAATATACCTTGATATCAACGTTCAGACCGGCCTGAGCAGCCAACGCCATAGCAACTTTCTCGGCTTCAGCCGCCCGAATTTTATCAGCTTCATCCTTGAGTTTCTTGATCTCTCTCTCCTTATTCTGCTTCTGCAGGCGAATCTGTTGTTCTTCTTGGATTTGGATGATCCTCAGCGCCTTAGCTTTTGCTTCCTCGATATCTTGCTTCTGCCTGAGCTCTTCGACCTTTCGTTTTCGTTCTTCGATCGTCACCTTCCGTTTCTGTAGCATCTTTCTCTGTTTAGGACCGTCAATCTGTAAGGCTTGCAGGGCAACCGATTTCACCAGATGAAGGTCTGGTGTGGCAGTCTCATTGATCGTCGACAGAACAGGCATGATGTGATTGAGCGAGACTGTGAGGGCGCTGGCCAAGCGGGTTAGATGAGTACGAAGTAAGCTGGCCGAGTTGGGTTGAAGGACGCCACTTTTGGCGAGACTCTGAGTGGGGACCAAGTCTTGGTCCTTGTTGAAGCTCAGTAAGGATGGAATGTTCGAAGTCGGAAGTTGGGTTGAGCTGATCTGACTGTTAGTTTCGTTTTCGAACATCCGATCTGTAAACTTGATCAGCTGGCTTGAATGGTCCAACGTCACCTCCAATTCACCACGTTTGCAAGCTTCCATCAAAAACTTCTCAACTCTAATGCGAGTGATTTTCAAGTTCTCAGGCTCAGAATCTCCGAAGGATGCTAATTTGATCACTCGATTTAATTTCAGGGAATCGTACACTTGGGAGAGTTGTTGGAAGAGACGAGTGAGCACGACCTCTTTCAGTGGCTCGACATATCGCTTGGTTTCTTCATCCTCAGAAAGCTGCTGTAAGATGGGTTGGATCTTGGAAGTGATCGAGAGTGGATGAAAGTCGACTTCAAGGATTTCGTATAACGAGTGCAACTCGGGCGACGACTTCTTCAGTACTCCTCTCATCAGAGCGTCCTTCAACAGGTTCGCACGAGTGGGCAAGGAAGTCAACCCCAGCAGGCTAGCGAGACGACCCAGTTTGGTCTTGTTCAAGCTGTTTGAGTCCTCCTCGTTGTCTCTCATCTTCCTTTGAGGTTCATTGGTAGATGTGCTCGAGCCAACGACCGGTACGGCTAAGGCAGATAACAAGACAAGACCGGATAACTTTTTGAGTTTGTCCGGTTGATCGGCCGCAACGTTGGCTTGGATGGTGAAATACTTGTTGTAAGCAGCCGCGTGGAACAAGTGGTTCTCACCCACGCCAAAGACTCTGATCATCTTTTCGTAGAAGGCACTCATGACATGGTTTTTGGGTACCTTTTTGCTCAAACCGATGAGCCCGTTGATATCTTCAGCGGTGCGGAAGGATTCCTGCCATAGCTCAAGCTTGACAGATGTGTTGAGCTGCTGGAAGCGAGTCTCGAGATGACGCTGAAGGACATCAGGATCGGACAGGTTGATGGAGTGGGCCTGGTTGGTGTATTTTTGGGATGATGCGAGGTTCGATCGCAAAGTTTCTGCCAATCTTCTAAACTCGGGCTTGCGGGTGGGGGTGAGACAGAACTCGAAGGCCTCGGTGGCGATTTCCTAGAGAGGATGAATGGAGTGATGAGTGGATGAAGTGAGAGTGAGGCTAAGAGGGGGGGGGGGGGGGGTTGTATTGACCTACCTGGTAGAAGTTTTCCAGACGAGAATTGTTCCTGAGTATGTCAAGAGCAGTTCGGTAAGGCCTCCCCAAGACGATTGCAGCCATGGGGTAACTAATTCTCGATAGGTACGATCTCTAGAATTTTCCTCGCTGACGGTGGACATCAGCAAACTCTCAGGGGTTTCGGTAGCCTCGAGATCATCGACGAGAGCGGCGCCGTTCTCCTGGTCAGCTCCCTTCGGCGACGAGTGGCCCTTCGATCTCATCCACCCTAGCCAAGGCTTCGTCCAACTTCTCCTTGGATTTGGTGATGAAGTGCTGGACGACCATTTCGACACTACTGACGCTAGTATTTTGGGCTACATTCTTGTACATGTGTAGGCCCTCCTTGACGTTCCGAGTCTTTCTGAGGAGGACACAGAGATCGATGAATCGTAACATGATCGGTTCGAGTGAGGAGAGGGGTGTTTGTCTGAATCGCTTGGAGGAGAAGATTTCAGAGATCGATGCCAAGGCGGACATGGGTTGGTTGACCGAGAGGAGCTCCTCGGAGCGCTGCAACAGCCAACAGATGATCAGTTTGGATTACGGAAAGTCGATAGCTTGTCTTTGAATAACACTCACCCTAAGCACGGTCTCAGGTTTGGTATAGGGCCTATCATGGGCGGGTGGAGGAAAAGATGAGCAAGGAGTGGGCTTGGTTAGATGAGGAAAGAGACTTACGCCATGATGGTGCTGCTAAGAGTGACTTGAAGGTGAAGTTGTTCAAGTTGAAGTTGTTGTAAGAAGAAGTTGCCGGTTGCAAGTTTGAGGGGCAAGTGCAAGTTGGTGGTCAACAGGCAATTGTAGGTGGGGGGAGCCGGCAGGGGGAGAGAACGGTCAACAAGAACTGATGACGAGCAATTTCAGGCGACCCGAGTTTCTGACAGTCCGATCGAGTATCTGACATGGGCTGTGGCGCGGGTCAGAAACAGTCTAAACCTGATTAAAATCGAGCGAACCACAACTTGCCCGATTTCGACTCCACCCTGCGCACTGCGTATTTAGCACACCATGGCCGAAGATTAACTGCTGCAAATGGACTCCAATCAACCATGGAAACAGCTTAACCCGTTGGTAATGTACCTGTCCTGCCCCGCGCATAACTCTGGGCTCTTGATGGCCGATTAGCCAACTGTTCCTTCTCCAACGATTGGGTGGAAAATTGGAGGTGAATAGCAAAACTCTGAGCTGATTTCAAAGAATTGCGAGGAAGAAATTCTGAGCACTTTACACAGAGTTCTGAGTGTCTAACACGACAAACAGCCTACCTAACAGCTTTCCTGAATTCGGCACAGCTCAATTACCTCCAGGGTACTTAACTTTCACTTGATGATAATGATGAAAGCAAAATAACTGATTACTGGGAATCATTCTCCTGTCTTATCTCCAACAACAAGAGCAAAAGGACCGGAATGTGGACTTTCCTCTCCCCCATGTTCGGGAGAAGAGTTTCTGGGGAAACAGATGGCTCCAGTGTCTGATATATGTATTATAAGGAAAGAAACACATAATCAAAAAGCGCAAAACAATTAGGTATAGGTAATCATCTCGAGAAGCCTTCCAACTGTAGATAAATTGTAATAGCTAACTCGTGTGATAGAAGTGAAAATTAAAATATGGATAAAAGTAATTCAAGGCTAGAGCCCCTAGTGAGCGGTAAGAGATAGTGACAGACGAGAGATTAGATTTATTTTACATAGAATTGTAGCACGCGAAAGATAAGATATGTTTGGAATCAATCTGAAGTTTTTAGTCCTCCGCCGAAAAATCCTCATCGCTCTCGTCGTCGGTCTCGCCGGTCTCGCCGGTTTCGCTGGCCCCGACGCCGGTGACAGCCTCGAGTGAACCTTGCCCGAAGAGATCGCCTCTCTTCTGGAACTGCGACAATTGAGGAGCGGCGACGCCCATGTCCAAGGGATCCAATTGGTTCGCAAGACTGGGTGCTGGCGCTGCGCCGGTCCCCTCAACTTTTTTTTAAGATGACATCGACCAAAGGGAAGGCAGTAGAAACGTCAGTTTTGTCGGCATAGAAATCAAAGGCTTATTATACGAAAACGAAGGCCTCGTGCTCACAGAAGCTCAGGCAGGCAATTAAAGTGGCGGCCATCGACAAGAGTTTCATTTTGAAAGCTTCGGTATTTGATCTGTATAAAACAAGTAGAAAAGAAACAAGAGCGGTGAAGATAACCACAAGAATCATCAATCAACTTTTCATCCAATTCGTAAAGTGGTTGTAGAAATTTTCAGTTACCTGTTGGAAAGAATGTGGAAAGCTGACTCTTGTAACAGAGAGTAATAACTTGCTATGGTGATTTGTGAACGGAAGATGGGGATGGAGAACTGGAACTACTGGTCCATTTGAGGCTATTTATCTACCCCATGGAATACCCCTCCAACCTAGCTAACCTCAGCAGCGCGGATGTACACCTGATATGGCGAATTCCTCGTAGTATTCCTTTTCGAACTAACCATGAAGTGGTGAATTGTTTGTGTATAATTGTAAAAGGCGGTACAGCTATGAATACATAAATAGTGCTATGTGCACACTTACTTGAAGTTTCTTTTGCCAGGTGTAAAACTTTATCCGTCAGGCTATATGTTCAATTGAAGATATGTGGTGAATTCGAAAGTATGGCCGCCACTTGATCACGTCCTTTACAAGTTTAATTAACAAGCCTCAAGAACTGGCGTAGTTCCATCGAACTTTTCACTCGTTGTGCGAGCGCCGCTCGAGTCTCCATTGCCTTCCATCACAGCAGTCAGTCGGCCCGTTGACTGAATAAAGTTCTTTTCTAAGAACGGCTGACCAGGGCTGACCGTATCAAAGCCTCATCAGAACCGGCTTTAGCCTGCTTTCCATGGAGCCTGTAGGAAAGATTCTGTCACTCGGGCCAGCGGGTGAACGAAGGAAATCATTGCTCATGACATCATCTAGTCTTTACAGCAGTCGTGGAAAGCTTTTGGACCTTCATACATAGCAAGTCGAAAAGTTCAAAATTCACGAAGCAGAAGAGCCCGGAACGGGACGCTCAGGGCCAAGTCCCTCTTATTTTTAAGGGGGGGCGCCACCGGGCACTGCAGGGAGACTCAGAGGTGGTCGGTGCAAATCCGAAAGAGACAATACTAATTGGAGACGGCTAGGAGGGATGCCGAATTAATGCTGGGGCGCCGCTACGCGTACATTATCCGCGCACAAAATTCCCACGAAGGGCGGTGCCCCGATGCAGCTGATAATGGGTTCTTCCACTCAGTAAAGCTAACACGTTGGTTCCTTGATGCTCTCAAGAATTACCGGCACAAGTTTGTAGAATTTAGACTACGCGGGCTCAATGTCCATCCACCATAAGAGTCCAAATTTCTAAAAGTCTTTTTTGGACTCTTAGGAGGCTGTAGATTCTAAATCTTATTCAGTTTTGCAATTGGACCAGCCATTCTTTTTTTTTCTTCTTTTTTTGAAATCAGTATTTGGGAGTCGAAGAAGGACTGATGGCGAAGCCGGCCTTAAGACTCCGATGGCGGAGCTTTTGACTGTCCCGGATTGGCAAGATGGTCAGGCAGGGATGCATGCAAGAGCGCTCCATGATGACGGTTTTTTTTTCTACGAGAAAAGTGCTCAGTCCGGGGTGAGTGAGATTAACGGAAGAGAGAACCTACTATTATGTGTTTTTTTCCCTGTTTCAGCACAGGGAGTCGGAACGGGCAAATGTTCAAACGCCGGATGGGATAAGTCTGATCAGTCCACGATTCAGGTTCCAAGCTCACAGAAGAGTGAACGCTCAGCCTGACGGGAGAGCCATCCATGGCCGCTACCGGCCACCAGTGGGAAATGGGAGACGGCAGCAGCTGCACGCACAACGCTTTCGCTCGCCGGTCCATTTGCATCAATATATCAGCAGTGACTGGCGTTTGTACCATTCCCGGCGGTCCTATGACTTTTCCGAGCCTTCATCCCCACTGAGACAACAACAAAAAAACAAGCCTTGCGCTCAGCCTATCGTCTTATAATAACGTCCATAAAAGGAGGACATTGAGAGGCCATCTGGCAGAAAACCCCACTCGTTCTTGATCCGACAGTCTCCATCACATCTCGCCGCACATCCTTTACCATAACATCATCCCCACTCGCCATCCCCTACATCAGCCTACCAACTTAGCACCCTCAACCTAGACATGTCGGCCCGGCAGACCGCCCCGGGTAAATACTTCTTTCTTCTCCCTTGAACCTCGTCTTTTAGCCTCAAGGACTAACATCTAAAACTGACTATACATTTTCTACTTGTATACTCTTCTTTCCTCACATTGTCCTTTTCCTTTTTTTTGTTTTCTTCTCGTCGTGCAGATGTTGACGCCGAGCTCATCAAGTTAATTAGGACATGCTATCGCTTTACACCGGAATCCAATTCCCAAGAGGAGGAACAAGTCTCACCGGAGGAAGATTTAAAGACCCGACTAGAAAAGTTGAATCGAGTTGAAAGCACCATACTACCTACCATTCGTGACCTAGTCACCGAACTGCTCGAGGCATTAGACTTACCTGCTAAAGACTCGATTTCTCCCCAGCCCAAGCTCGATGAAGCCTCAGAAATCGTCCCTAGGCTCACTAGCCTCGTGGAAGACCTGGCCTGCTCCGTCCTTCCTCCCGATTACTCCAATCCTGAAATATGTCGACTGATTGATCAAAATTACGGCCAATTGAACCAATTCAGATCTTGCTACTTCAAGAAGAAGATTACCGAGTTCATCAAAGAAGATCTCAGAAGGTTATTCAGTAGCCTTTCTTCCTTTGTTTCTAATGGCGAATATTACCCTCCTGATTACGAACCGTCAGACCGGGACAAGCCTCACCAAGAGGGGCGAGCTGGCCGAATCCAAATTATCATCCCCAGAATCATCAACATCATCCGCGGATCAAACTTCGATATCATCCAATCCATCTGGAATGAATGTGAAGACTTGCTGGCTAGCGATATCAACGACATCCACTGGTGTATCAACCTAACAAACACCCGGGCCCCTGCGCGCATTGTCCCAGACTTCAGCCCACTTATACCGGCTGTTCTCGAAATCTTGGACCAAACCCTCGTCCTACTCAAAATGTGCAGACTCTTCTCCAGAAAGATTGGTTCTACACGTCTCTTCAAATTTGCTGAAGGCATCAGCCCGGCCGACCTCGCAAGTTTCGGTGATGTCTCTGAAAAGTTTCAGATCCACGTCCAAAGTCTGATCGTCTACATGGAAACTGTCGCCGAGTTCCAGGAGAAGCCTCCCGGCTGGAATTTCAAGCACGAAGCCGAGGTGATCAGTCATGATGTTCACTTTTGCTTGGACTTCATCCGCTCTCATATGGTCCCTTCTTATCCCCCCCAGACGGTCGATGAGGTCATGGATCGACTGTTCGGAACATTCACTCAACAGTTTTTTCCTACTCTCGATAGATACATCGCCCGACTGACTCAGTTCCAAGCTGATCATTAAACAAAAAAAAACCGTTCTTGAGGATCAAATGCAACTGACCTTTCTCTCCTCAGGGCCCAGATCACTTTTTTTGTACTTGTGACGACCAAATTATAACAATAACAAACACATTTCTTCGTCTTTTGTGTATCCTGTCACAAATTCTGTCTGAGGGAAAAAAAGATGTCAAAATCATTTCTTCACCTAGTCATCATGAGACTTGGTACTCGACTTGAATTGTAGGGATTTCAACATTGGTGATCATCCACCCCATGTTTCTTTTTGTTCCTCTCTTCTTGTATTGCGTACATTCTATTCTTGAGATAAACTACCCAGTTTTTATTTGTGGCTTGTCACGAATAGATCTTTCTTTCCTACTGTTGATATTATGATGGACGGTTACAAGAAAGTTACCACATTAAGCCACAAAGGACCACGTCTATGATTGATTCTAGAAAGAAACAGTCAGAAAAGATGAAAAATACGGAGAATTTTGCAGTGTGCCAATAATATTTTTGTGATGTGCACGTCAGCTTGTAATTCAATGTCTGGCTGATGTCTGTCACAGTGCCCAAAGTACAACTGTTTTTGATAAATACACAGCTTGATAGATCCTTGAAACCTACCTGTAAAAAGCAAGAAGTTACTGTCACATAGCACTAAAATTGGTTTCTGTGCACGCAAGTGGTTTTTTGAAAAAAAAAAAAAACCTGATGGCTAAACTACATACATAGGCTCAAGAGTCAAAGCATCTTCTTGGAGAAAGTGACAATTTGCAAATGAATGTGCATCTGGAACAATCAATGCACCCTTGAAGTTTTTTCATCAAGTGATACTTGATTTTTCCTGGGGGGGGGGGTGGCTTCAAGTAAGAGCACTACATAGTGATTTGCAGTGGAAGGGTTCATGATCAAGAAATCAGAGGCTACAAGATGTGCTATGTAAGACCAATCATCATCTGATCATGATGAAGAAAGAGGATGAAAATAAAGGCAAGCATGTATGGTAGTAAAACTGGTGCAAGCACTCATAGCACCATAGGATGGAAGGTAAATGAACCCACAAGGACACATGATCAGGCAACTTGAAAAACTAAGTGATCCTGAAAGAAAGGGGCTTTTGATGACAGAGTCCACAGTGAGGCACAACACTGCACATTGTAGGAAGTGACACAAACCCCAAAGGTGCTCCAACAGCTGAGACAAATACAATAATAGTCCACATCTGATTGCTCATTCAATTTCCAGCCTCCTTATTAAGGCTTATGTACATTACCCACAACACAACAACAGAACAAAAGAACACAGTACAAAATGACAACAAGAGGTGCACAAGTATTACAAGTGTAGTCATACAGAGATTTGTTTTTCAGGTTTTGGTCCACTTATTTCTCCTAGATAGAGAGTCTCTCAGAAATCACTAGAAAAACATAGGGAAGGTGAAGATCATACATCATTGAGCTTATATCATGGCATCGTATTTGTATCCTGCCTGTTAGGTCAGTAGAAATATTACAAGTGATTAACAGAAAAAAAAAAAGAGCATTCTTAGCTCTCGAAAAAAATTGATACAAAAATACACATATCAAGTTAAGCTGTCGTCGAATTTTCATTCATCGCCTCGAAACCGACTGCGGTCTTTACACTCGTAAATGTGAATGACACCGGCTACACCAACACCGACGACGACGACGCCGCCAGGAATAGAGGACAAGTGAGTACCAAGCCAAGCTGGGCGATGAAGCAAAAACAGAGTAGGAGACTGGACGTACTTCTATCGGCACTGACGATACAGCGAAACGGCAAGTCGATCACCGCGATCGCCGTGACCGCATCGCCGTGATTTCTGAGTAGCGATTGCTGGTAATTGGCCACGACGGTCGAGCGATGAGGGGTCGGATTCGCATCGGCTCTCGACGGATTGTTGGGGCGTCGGTGTGGATGACTGCTTTGATAGGATTTGGCGATGTATTCGAGATGGATCGTCGGGGTATCCGATGCATCAGACCTTTTTTTGGGGGACGAAAAAAAAAAAACGAAAACGAAAAACAGAAACGAAATCAGACTCGATCGAAACACGTATTATCAGCGTGATTCTGATTCTGAATAACTGATCAGACCGGGAACTCAACCTGAATTGCGGCCGATCATCTTCCATCTCCAATCCGCTGACTGTGTTCGAGCGCTCAGGTACAGCGAGATCCCAGAACCGAATCCTGCGGTCTTCGCCGGCACTTATCAAGTATCCAGCCGGTCTCGAAGGGGCTTGAGAAATGTTGAGCTCATCTGCCATCATGATCAGTTCGCCGGAACTAGACATGTTGTCGTGATATCGTGAGCCAATGATGAATGAGGAAACTGTTGGTGGTTGACGTAGTAGCTGCGAGGGATTAGGGCCGAGGATGTTCTGTCTCTTTGATGGCTCCAAACACTGATTTTCTTGTAGCAACCGCTCTATAGCACTCGTTGCGTTCAGCTGTGGGGGTAAAGGTGCGACAGACTTCGCGTTGGAGTAATGGCAATTCTCGTCGTCCAGTCCCTCATGTTTGGCTCGAAATCTATCGACAGCTACATCAGATGTATTCCGAGAGACTAAGAAGGTTTGCACCAATTTACCCATTTCTAAGTCCCATACTTGTAAGGTTTGATGGGTCGGACGTTCGGGGTGATTGTCGATTGTTGACAGAGCTGCAATGACCACCCAACGCCCTTTACCCTGAGTAGGATGAACGTTCAGCTGATGGATCGGTCCATCGGCCATCTTCCAAGTCTTCAATAACAACCCGAACCTCAAATCCCAAAGAGATAGATAGCCCATGGTAGTTCCGACGGCTAGCCAAATCTTTTTTTGGTCGATGCATAATTTGGAAAGAGGTCCGAAGTGTTTGGGATTTCGAAGCACTCGTGTAGTCCGCATGGTCCTCAGGTCGAGAGTGACGATTGAGCATTTGTTGGTAATATAGATCAAGTCGGATGACGTCAGAGTGTTGTAATGAATCATAGATGTAATGTATTCCCCCGAATTCAGTTTATGTTGTCGAATTGCTTCTGGTTTGGAGTAACTAGGCAGGTTGCTATCGAAGTTGACGTCGATTCGATGAACTAATAGTGTACCATTGGTAGAGGCACTTGCCACGCAATGGCTGTGCTCCAACAAACAAACTTGGGTGATCCGTCCTCCTTGATTGAATGTATGACGCGACTTGCTAGTTACATTCTTTTCCAGTCGAACGGTGTCCCAAACCTTAACCGTCCCATCGTGAGATCCACTGGCGAAGAAGACAAAATCTGGAGAAACACAAAGACTAGAAACCGCTGCAGTGTGTTCAATCAAATGACCAATCAAATTCCCGCTCGAAGATCTCGAGCTTTTCTCCTTGACAGCCAAAAACGACCGAAATGCTTTCCGCCGGGGAATCCCTTCAGCCACCATCGGGCCGAATTCGGGTAAAGGATCTCGATAACTGTCTAGAAAGACGCGCTCGAGTAAATAGCGGATGTTGGCATCATGTCCCTCGTATGTACTACTGAATCGCTGGGGCGGTGGTGCACTTGATCGGGTACGATGAGGATAGACACTGGACATTTGTTCCGTTGCTTGAGAGCCAAGACCACTGAAATCAACATGAGCTTGACGCGTCCGAGCTTCCGTATCTAACACACCAAATACCGAGGTCGTATCGCGGGCGGTGGCTGGATTAGTTTTGGAAACATCGAAGCCTTTTGAACTGGATACATTGTTTCGCGACTCAAGAATGGGTTTGGCAGTAATCTCGCTCGAACGCTCTAGTAGTCCGCCAAGGGGATGTGCGTCAGTCGAACTGCCACAACTTTGAGGTCGAGATGTTTGTATCTCAGGAGTGGGTGTGCCCGGAATCGATGGACTCATGACATTACGGGTTACCAGATGTCTTCGAAGATCCGTAACTGTGGGTGAGTCGTTCCTGGTACCTGGGCGCTCCGGATCGGTTGATGATGATGGAATGTCGACAGAGACTTTCCGCTGCAAACTGCCGGGCAGACGATGATTATGAACCGTCAAGTTGCTAGAGCTATTAGTTTTCTTGAGGTTGCTATTATCTGAGGCCGATGGATTTTTCAAAAGGATGTTATGCAGCGGGATTCCAAAGTCTTGGAGGGAAACATTGTTATCGTCCAAAAGATTTGAAGCTTCTAGGGTAGTATTAGGTGTAGGAAGTCTATATAAATTGAAAATCATGTCAGAAGAGGAACTGTTGAAAATACCTGAGGAGAATGAGAACATTGAGTGACCACACCTAGAACGAGAATCTGCTACTTTGACAATGTGCTGCCTCATATTTTTAAGCCTGACCTCATCCACCGGGGTCATACCAATTTTGCGTAGTTGACTCAGTTGTGCCGTATCACTTCAAGTTTAAAACGAGAGTTAGTTGAGGTACTGATGCATTTTGGCACCGTGAAGTATCGAAGAAATAAGAAAAGCGAGCTCACTCTTCAGACAGCAAAGCGTGATTATCAGGAAAATTTGTTTGGAATTGGCGAGAGGTAGACGCAGGTTGGGTAGATGGAGATGCAGAGCTAGACGGTGGTTTCTTAGCAGCAGCACTTGGTAATTGCCAAAACGATGAGCGCTGTCTTCTCCCCGCCCAAACTACTGCAGCCTCATACACAATTCGTGATATCTGAGGATTGGAAGGAAAGATTAAGAAACGTGATAGTAGTCCAAGAGGGTCGATTTAATGGGAGACTTGAAACAACTTACCGGGGCTTCTAAGTTGGTCAAGATGGACTGCTTAGTCAAGTCTTCAATATCACAGCGGAGGAACTTCCGCAGGGCTGGGTACAATACACACCACACGTCTGTTGTCGGCAGTACATGGGAGACCGTGACGATCAGTTCCGTAGATGCTACATTAATAAATGTAGTGTTAGTTGAAAATGATTAGCCAAATGCTCGTCGATCCAGGGAAAGTGAGAATTAGATTACTAACCTCGTCTGATCCATGAATTCGGGTGGCTTAGTAGAACTATGACGGCAGCAATCAGTTCCCAGAGCTTATGCTCACTTAGGAGCTTTTTCTTGATGACTTCAGTCAATGCGGTAATAACACGAGTAGAAACAAATTCTTCCGAATCTGAAATGTTACAATCAGGTCGGTTAACCAGGAAATTAGTGGCCCAGATGCGTGCCTTATCAATCATAGCAAAGTATTCTGACCTGCTAAAGCTTGCATCATCATGGGTAATAAATACTCTTCAACGCTTACGGGTCCGATTTCAGTATATATGTCAGCCATATGCTCGAAGAATGATGTTCGCAGGATGTAATCGTTTTCGTTCAGGTAAGTTAGGATGTGAGCCAAGAGGATGTCACTGTAAGCAGGATTTAGCCGATTAACCGCTACTCAAGGCGCTGAAAACTCGAGCAGTTAGAATGTGCGCACTTGGTTTTTACTCGACCGAAGAATTTCGACAAGTCTGGAAGGCTGGTCAGAAGTGACCTTTTGGTGACGGTGGAACTATCCGTAAGCAGCGATACAACGATTTCTTGGAATTGTCGGTGAAGTTCGTTGATATTATAATCATACGATGACTGAGGAGAGGGTCAACACAGCCGGCTTTAGTGACCCAAGAGGCATGCGAAGAAGGAAAAAATCATCGAAAAACTCAACCTCGATTGTATCAACTGGATCCCCCGGAGTCATCTGATTTGTGTCGCACTCCATTCGTTTTCTCTGGTTGATGACTTGCGTCAAGTTTAAAAACCTCTTGCTAGTTAAAGCCAGTGGACCGATGCACTTTCCAAGTGTTGCACGAACAAACTCCGAAGGGTCGTTAATTAAATGTTTAAGATTAGGAATGAGGTACTCGGGGAACAAGGATGAATTTGAGGGAGTAATCATGTCAACCAGTAACAACTAGACCATAAAACAAAAAAATATCATTTGTGAATCAGCACGTCATGCTTGATTGAATTATGGAAGTAAAGAGGCACTTACAACCTGGGTTAAACATAACAAAGTGCTAGTTTTGATCGAATCACAACTTTCGGCGGAGTTGAGCAGGCTAACAAGGAACGGCAAAACACGATCCAGCATGGTCTCATCCGTCAGATGATCCAGCAAGGCGAGATATAGATCCAAAGCCTTCAAGACTGAATTGGGATACAAGCAACTACGGATATTGGAGTTCAGAACTGATAGAAGGATCAAGGCGACATCATCTAGTAATCCAAAGGAGAAGTAAGCCACTACAAAAGTTGATATATTGACTGTTAAGATTGTATATACTGACCATCCACAGAGCCTTTTGAAAGCTCAGGTGTTGACCGTAGGCAAACATTACGACCTGGGACATTGATCCTCAAAGGAAAGTCGGCCTGGAAAGTATTCATCAAAGGGAAGAGGCAATTTTGTTCAGAAGTCGACAGACGTAAAACTTTCCTTGATGCTAAGTGAGACGGTATTACCCAAGCATGCCGTGATGTTTGGGGCCGTGTCCCTTCGGATTGGTCAACCGTCATATCAGAGTGCGGATGAACGGTCTCACCACTTCCTTCAGTCGGCTTTGGGTGAACTTTTCGCCTGTGGGTGCCACCCATGAAACCCGAAATGTATTCGAAATCGGACCACAATTTTTCGATGATGCCATCCGCGTCATTTCTGAGTTTGGAATGGGATGAAAAATCGCCTAGCCTCGAGCCTCCTGCTATTGAAGGGCCGGCTCCTAAGCCATCAACATGAACCTTTCGAGGGGTGATCGGTGGATTGAAAGGGCCAGAGAGATCTTGAATGCTCAAAAGGAAAGGGTGAAGGAACATATAAAAGGAACTAGGGAAGGTTTTGTTGCTTTGACAGTTGTTCAAATACTCTTCAAATGTTAATCGATCACTCGGATTGAGCTGAATCATGCTTCGAACCAAATCCTTAAGAACGAAATCACAACAGCAGTGAGTTGGTTGTACATCATCGATGCAAGACGAGACTGACCCGAATCTTCTCATCTTCGATTCCACGCAAGTACGGCTCCACGGAATATTCCCCAAACTTGTAATTGAACATCTGACTGAGAGTGAACGGACTACTTCCTTCGGTGAATAATTCACCAATCACACAGCCCAAGCCAAAAACATCCATACTTTCCAAGACTTTGGCTTTTGTCGTTGTTTCAATCTCAATTTCAGCGGAATAGAACCGCTCTGGTGCTAGATAACAGGATCTGCGTGAGGAGGTATCGAAGTAGTACGAGAAATCGGCAGGATCATCTTCGGGTAGGTAAGTTGGTTTGAAGGTCGAGGAGAAGTCGGTGATATAGATCCAGTTCCAGGAGGTCACAATCACATTTTCTGATTTCAGGTCGCCGTGTGGGACCTTAAAAACGCCCCAAAAAGATTTTGCGGGTCAAACAATCTGCCAAATTACCCCCGGAAAACCAATTTTTAAGCTCACCCCTCGATTCCAAGAGTTACGCATAGCGGTCAACAGTTGAAAAGCAATCCACTTCTTTTCGGCGAGGCTTAGAAAGGGACGCGTACTGCAGGAACAAGAATGTGTGAGTAGATATAGATAATAGGTGAGAGGGATATTTCAGACAAACCTGATCCGATCGTATAAGTTGTTAGTTAACCATTGTCTGATCAGGTAACCCGCCTTCTCGGTTTCGACCGCCCTCTGATAGGTTAATACGTTTGGGACATCCTGGAGCAATCCACGCTCTGCTGGGTAGTTTGAAATAAAGACAAGAGATGGGTTGAGTATGTAGTACATAGTTGAGGATTTCTAAGATGTGGCAAAGGAAGGAAAGAAGTGAAGTTTACATTTGAGTCTCCTGACGAAACCTTTGAGACTGAATGAGGGGTCGGTCTTGACAAACACCTTGACGACGATTCGACCATACTTATGGCGAGCCCTGATGGTCTTGAGGAATCGAGCTGGACCCAGACTGAAAGATGAATGAGGAGCAAAGAGTCAGTGATCGAAGAACGGGGTTCTGAGATAAAGAACCTGTTACGAACGATTTCTCATAGAGTATGTCGGTCCCTAGTTCGGAGACGAAGCTATCGAGTGTCAGTCCAGTGGGTCGGTTGAGGTTGTTTGAGGGTGCGTTTCCCATTATTATGGTTTTGATCAAGTCAAGCTGATCGATGTGCGGTCGTCCCTTTCGGTGTCTGCATACACCCACTCCTGACTAAGCTGAACTTAATTTTTTAAGGCTCGTTATTTTCATCGAGGACCCCTCAAATTTACAACGCATCCCTCCCCTTGTATGTAGCCCAATCAGCCCCAAAAACCTCAGCATCACAAGGTATTAACTCCCCAAGGCTTATTATGCCTTGCAATCAAAAGACTGTGCAAGAGCACACATTTAGCTCAAATGCCCCAAAAGTACGAGGCCCTGACTTTGCGAGGTCCACACATGTTAAAAAAAATGGTGTGTAAAAATTTCATTGCAAAGCAACCAGGGCGAATTTTACAAGCATTTGCCCAAACTTAATCGCCAGCTTATTTCCTAGCGCTCCTGGTCACACCCGGTTGCTCGTTTGAGCACCATATCATCCTTGCGGGCCCTTCCAGCAGGCCTCACGGCTTCACTTTCTTGCTTAGCGACCTTTGGGGGTAGTGACGGACGCCGCTGAGGATCCTGCGCTCATCTTGATCATTATCTTGAGCTTCTTTTAGCCGCCTTTGTGGAGCCTTCGGCCTGGGAAATCTTGATGTTTTGTTGATTGGTTGTGGGCCCATCGGGTGTCTTGTCTAAGGTTGATAATTGGGCCGGGTGTCCAACAGGACACCCGAACCCGGCCGGGTTTGGGTCGGGCGCGGCAAGCTGTTGTGTGGAAAATCTGAATTTTGGCCTGGCCTGTTTAAGTCAACAAACGGCGCGGGTTGGCGCGGGCTGGCCAACGGGTGCCCACGGGCTTCAGCAGCTGCATGTGATCAGGCCGGAGGCTGTGATAATTCTACCCATCTATGATGTATTATACTCCAATTTGTTGGGCTCGAGAGATTCTCAGTAGACCTTAAGCCTAAACAGAGGATGCTCAATCCCAAACTCTCATGATACAATGATAGTCGATATCCACCAACCTGGTAACCCATCTACCGGATAATGATATATTATTATATAGGATTGGATGAAGGACATGTAGCCCTTTTTTCATCTTTCTTCCTCACATGTCTTGTATATACATAGCACCGACTAGTGCAGTTAACTACTAGTCACTATGTAATACAAAAAACAGATTGTTTTCTCTCTTTTCATCCGATTCAGCCTGACCCGTGGGCTCATTGTGGGCTGCCCGCGGGTCACCCACATTGCCCGCTGGACAGCCAGCCCGGCGGGGCGCCGCTGGACCGCCCGTGTCCACCTGATCGCGGACACGGATTTGGGTCGGACAGCAAAATCTGATTGTTTGGACCCGGCCTGGCCTGTCCGATTAAGTTGCGGGTAGAGCCGGGCTAGCCTGTGGGCGGCCCAGACCCGCCCGATTATCAACCCTAGTCTTGTCAACTTCCGGCCCACTGATCAAGCAAGCTTTCAACCACCAAGGAGCCAGTCGGAAAAACAAACGAGGAGATGGCCTGATTGCTCGATTATAGGAACGGAATGATTGACTCACCTGGCACCTCAATCTGAGATCTTGCGGGTGATTTACCTTCAATAGCTTCCAAGGACAACTCGAGTGCATCGTTGGCTGCATCTTTGGTGACATGAGCTTCCAGAATGGGTAAGTTGGTGTTGAAGGATTTCAGCAATGTCGAGAGACTGGCAAAAGGTGTGTTATGAAGATTGTCGAAGGCCAGTTCGTTGTAGTCGCCATGAAATCTTGTTGTTCAATTCCATCCGAGATTGCTGCAACATCGAGGAAGGAATGTTTTATGCACACACGAAGTTTGCTGCAATATTCTTGAAGAAATCGGGATCTCGGAGATGTTGGTGGTGCCATTAGCAGACTGTGACAACGAAGCTAAAGTTGTGACCTGGATCAACTCAGTATGTCCGGTAGGTTTTGTAGCCGTGCTACCAGAAGTCAGGGGCTGATCGCCTCCTAGATGCCTCACTAAAGTGAGTAGAACTCGCAAACCCCCTGCGTAACGCAGGAGGGTTGCTCATTCCTGCCGGAGCTACTGCTCCGACATTTCTCTTTCGTCATCTCATAGCCGCAGGGGCTTGTTCCTGTGTCACGTAGTCCAGTTACGCCCCTTGGTGGCTCTTTTAGTTTCCTCTGTTTTGTTGCTCGAGGCCAATATATAATTGGCCTCTTTGTTGTAGGGGTTTCTTCCCCAGTTCTCTGTTCTTTCTTTCCAGAAATTCAGAGTTCAGCTCGTTTCATCATCTTTTCGCGCGCCTCTCTTCTCCTAGGCCTCCTTAGCCTGAAGAGCCCCGCTTCAGTGGTAGCGAGAGATAATTTACTATTCGACAATAAAACCCAAAATCGAAAAAAAAAAAAAACTACTACATATATCTACTTCATCGCTTTAGACCTACCCGGCATATAACAACGTTAGTGAGAAAAAGTTTCTCTGGATAAGTCCCGCCTGACCTGTCTTGACAGACCGTTAGTCGGGCCCCTTCTTTCTTCTACTATTATTATCCCGGTCGACCGTGTCTTGCGTCAGCAGTCGTAGAGTAGTCCTGTTTTTTTCCTTTGGGATCAATCCGCTCAGAAGGATTGAAACCTCTGGGGTCGAGGTCTAGACTGAGCATAGTGCTTGAGAAGTTTTGACGAAAAGAGGAGCAGCAGTTAGCTTACTTTCTGTATCCCACTCCTCCTTTGTGACTAGATGAATATCGGAAAAGTCGAGCATAGCCCGAAAGGGAAGAAGGCGGCGACGGGCGACGACCCGGGCACTGCCCCACCAGCACCCGCGAATCAGGAGTACTATACGGCGGAAGAGGTGGCCAACTTGACCGATTCTCAACGTCAGTGGCTCTCTCAGAAAAATAAAAAAACTTACCGAGCGGAAAGTGAGGATCTGATCAATTACGAGGATGATCCTGTAGGTCCCTCAACTCAAGCGTCGTCCTCCAAAACGGCGGGTAGAATTGAAGCATCTCTGACGGGTGCATTTAAACAGATGAATGTTGATCCCAAGAATCAACCAGCTGGCCACGGCGCTGCCTCGGTCCCGACCAGGACTGCCGCCGCTGTCAAGGAAGAGTCAGCCGAGCCAGAATACGAGGAGCCCGAGATGGAGCTCCCCCTGGTGACCGACCCCAGCAAAGTGCTCAAGGGTTGGCCGGACAGAGACTGTCCTCGGTTTTCAGGCGCGGTCGGTGAGAGTGCCGCGGACTGGTTGAAGACCGTCGCCGTGCTCTTAGAGGATCGCCAGGCCCACCCAGGCATCTGGCACCGAACCGCCGGACAGCGGTTGAGCGGAAAGACATTCCGAGATTGGACCGAGTCGTCCATCGCCGGCACGCGTCCCAAGAACTGGGAGCAGTTCAAGACGTGGCTCCTACGCTTAAACCCGTTAGGAACCACGCCGGCGTTGGTTTCGGCGGAGTTGAATCGATTGCGCCAGGGCCCGAACGAGGCGGTCCAGCTGTTCTACGAGCGTTTCAGTGCTTGGCAAGTCAAGGCCAACACCATCGGTTTCGCCCACGACGAGCAGACGGCGTTTATCCAGAGGCTCAATCCGGGCCTGAGCAAGGAGGTGACGAAGTTCGTCACAGGGGAGACGATCCGTGGCGCAAAGGTCACGATGGATCAAGTCTTCATGGCAGCCGTCGCCAACGACCAGCACCACCGGGACTCGCAAGCGGCGCCAGTTGCCGGGGGATCGGGTTCGGGCAAGCGTCGAGCGGACGGCGAGGGAGGCGGCTCCGATAAGAAGAAGAATGGCTATCCCTGCCATAATTGTAAGCAAACGGGGCACCGTGTGAACAAGTGCCCTGAGCCCAAGACCGATGCCCAAAAGGCTTGGGAGGCGAAGAACGCCCAGAAAAAGAATGAAAAAAAAGAATAGTCGGTGAGGAATTGTCTCTCCCACCGACGTTAGCTGTAGTTTCTTCCTCTCAAAGTAATCTAAATAACATTGAGAATGACCTACATGAGCGCGAGCGTGATATTGATCACCGTGAGAATAGATCAGCTGAGTTTAGTGCGGGTTGCCCAGGCATGGGGACCGCCGGGTCGGAAGCTGTAGTGTCCATCGAGCAGATGTTGAATGCTGCCACCGACTGCGTGAGTGACTGTTTGTGTGAGGATGGAGTGCATTCAGTTGAGACGGCCATTGATGAACCCCGAGGGGTTCGCGCCGAGTTCCATCACAGAGTGGAGAACCGTTTGGCCAGAGTTCTCCTAGACACTGGCACTGGCTCGTCATATGTGTCCAACAATTTTGTAGTAGACCAGTCGTTGCTGATCTCTCGTTCTTCCAGGTCCTTTGCGGTTACCGGAGCCTTTGGGGACCGGATTTCGGATGACCGATTAGCAACTGTTCGTTTTACTCTGGCAGGTATTGATTTTGTAGCAGTTTGCCGGGTAGCGCCGCTGTCTAGCTACGACGTTATCCTGGGCCGTGATTGGATCGCAAGTAATGTTGTTTCAACTGACTGGGATTCTAATACGTGGTATCTGAGGGATCAAAAGGGAGGTGTCGCTGAGTTTTGTTTGGCATCATCTTCAACCTGCAGTATAGCAACTCACGAGTTGCTAGCAATGTCCGACGAAGACGAAGTTTTCCTTCCGAGGAGTATCCGGCGTCACGAGTTCTACGAGGGCGCTCGGGAGTCTTTCATCTGCTTGATGGAATCAGAAGGAGTGTCAGGGCCGAGGGATGAATTGCCAGTGGGCTTACCCACGGTGTTCGGACCAGATGCCGCGCTCCGAGAATCGTTACAGTCTCTAGTGACTCGTTTCGGAGGGGTCTTCGGACCTATCAGTAAGGTCTCAAACAGGCCTAGAACCATAGAACACTTGGTTAATACCGGGGACGCTAAACCCGTTCACCAGCCTGTGCGTCAGCTATCCCCGGCGATGCTAGATACGCTCAAAGAGCGATTGGCCGGTTTGCAGGAGTCGGGGTTTATTCGCCCGTCGACCTCAGACTGGTCATCCCCCATAGTAATGGTTAAGCAGCCTACGTCGGGAAAGGTTCGGCTTTGCGTCGATTATCGTAAAGTAAATGCTCTTACAAAGAAAGATCGCCATCCACTGCCGATTATCCAGGAGTGTTTTGACTCTTTAAGAGGGGCTCGTTTCTTTTCGAAGATCGACCTTCAGCAGGGTTTTCACCAGATGAAAATCGCAGAAAGTGACGTACCAAAAACCGCTTTTGGTACCAAGTACGGTCATTTCGAATGGCTCGTAATGCCGTTCGGGTTGGTAAATGCACCCAGTACATTTCAACGAATGATGACCCAGCTGCTACGCGAGTTTATCGATGTGTTCGTCCAGGTCTACCTGGATGACATACTTATATACTCCCAGAACGAGGCTGACCACGTAAAACACGTTCGGTTGGTACTTGAGATCCTCCAGAGTGAGGAACTGAAGTGCAGTGGATCGAAATGTTCGTTTGGGATGAGAGAAATCCAATATGTTGGTCACGTAATTGGGTTCAACTCGATTCGCCCAATGGAAGAAAAGCTCAGTTGCGTTCGTGACTGGCCCAGACCTCAGACGGTCTTTGATGTCCGTTCGTTCTTGGGATTGTGCGGTTTCTATCGACGATATGTAAAGAACTTCGCAAAGATCGCTGCTCCTCTACATGACCTCACGGCTGGCGGAGTAACGAAGAAACAAGTAGTCAGATGGTTGCCGGTCCAAGAGACAGCATTCATCCAGTTAAAAGAAGCACTGGTCAGCTCACCTGTCTTGTTGATGCCAGATGTCCTCAAGAGATTTGTGATGGAGACTGATGCGTCCGATTTCGCCGTGGGAGCTGTCCTGTTGCAGGATGGAGAGGATTTGGTCCTTCACCCGGTTGCTTTCGAGTCGTGCAAGTTGAACAGAGCACAGATTAATTACCCAGCGCAGGAAAGGGAGCTGCTGGCGATCATCCATGCGTGGAGAAAGTGGCACGTCTATCTTGACGGGGCTGTAGAAACGACGGTCGTGTATACAGATCATGCGTCTCTTGCCTACCTGTCTACCCAGCTCCTACCGACGAAACGCCTACTCCGATGGATTTAAGAATTCGCAGAAATGGACATTGAGGTTCGCTATAAAAAGGGGGCCGATAATGTTGTTCCAGATGCGTTGTCGCGCAGAAGCGATTTGGCGCTGTTAGATGAAGTCACGGATCAGTTACATGAATCCGATTGGCCTCTTATAATCCCGTATTTACTCGATAAGAGAGACTTACCAGAAGGGATCCCAGAACACCTGATTGTGAGGGCAGAAAGGAACTCGAAGTTCTTCGATTACGATCCAGAAGCCGAGACCTTGACGTATCTGGGCCGGCGAGGATTGGAGGAACGTTCGCCGTTTGTCGCCTTCGCTTATAGGTTTGACCTACTCCGGTCAGTCCATGATGAGCTGGGCCATAGGGGCCGGGACTGCACTTTGCAGGTCCTTCGGGGTAGGGGGTGGTGGCCGAAACGTTACAATGATGTCCAGAGTTACATCCGTACGTGTGCATCCTGTCAGATACAAGAACGGCCCCATGACACTCAAGAAACCGGTCTCCAGCGGCCATTGCCAGCAGTAGGACCTTTCGAGCGGTGGTCCTCCAACCTTATCCAAATGCCAAAAAGCTACAAGAAGGGGTATAACTGGATCTTGACCGCCATTGATCATTGCACCTCGTGGCCGGTAGCAGTCCCGCTAAAGGAAGCAACAGCGGACGAGCTCGCTGAAGCTATCTTCGAGCAAATTATTACGCCTTTCGGGGCGCCCAAGGAGTTTCTCACAGATCGAGGCTCAAATTATCTCTCAGCAGGGTTCCAGTACTTTTTAAAGACAGCTGGGATGAAGTCCATCCGTACATCGGGCTATCACCCCCAAACTAACGGGAAGAGTGAGCGGTTTAATGGCATCTTAGAAGCGGCCATTTTCCGCCTGAACACGTCGGGAGACCCTTCAAAATGGGAGGATTACCTCCCAGGGGCACTGTTTTCCACTCGGATTCATGTCAGTGACAGCAGTGCTTTCTCGCCGTTTGAGCTACTCTATGGCTGCAAACCACGCTTGCCTAAAGACCGTAGACGGATGATAGCAGCAGAACCGGTAGTACCAGGCTTGGACGAGCTTATGACACGACTGGAGATCCTGAACAAGAATAGGATAGAAGCCGCAGGTAACACAGCTACCAAAGCACTGAAGAATAAGGAAGCCTTCGATGGTAACACCAACTTCTCTCGGGATTTGAATAGTTTAGTAGTTGGCCAGTCAGTAAAACTGCGCAATGAAAAACATAAGAAAGGCCAACCTCGTTGGTTCGGACCATTTGAAATAGCAAAGGTCCTGAACAATAATGTCTACATTATTGTCGACCACGAAGGGGTCGAATATCCGAGGCCGGTCAATGGGAATAACCTTCGGCCGGTTTCCCTCAGATCGTTGATTGTCAACGATATGTGGGCCCCACCCCCAGCGATAGCGCTTCGGGAGAAGCGTGCTGACGCTAAAGTTAACCGTGAGCTCTTGCGAAAGACTAAATCAGTAGCCAAGGCCAAGCGAACGCCCCTTGTTATTGCCAGTGACAAGACGGTAGAAAACCGGCCACAGCCGGCTCAACCACCGGCAAGACGGCTTCGTCTCCGTCTAGGACCGCCGCCGACGGGGTCTTGGACAGCCCCCGCTTAAGGGGGGGATGTTGTAGCCGTGCTACCAGAAGTCAGGGGCTGATCGCCTCCTAGATGCCTCACTAAAGTGAGTAGAACTCGCAAACCCCCTGCGTAACGCAGGAGGGTTGCTCATTCCTGCCGGAGCTACTGCTCCGACATTTCTCTTTTGTCATCTCATAGCCGCAGGGGCTTGTTCCTGTGTCACGTAGTCCAGTTACGCCCCTTGGTGGCTCTTTTAGTTTCCTCTGTTTTGTTGCTCAAGGCCAATATATAATTGGCCTCTTTGTTGTAGGGGTTTCTTCCCCAGTTCTCTGTTCTTTCTTTCCAGAAATTCAGAGTTCAGCTCGTTTCATCATCTTTTCGCGCGCCTCTCTTCTCCTAGGCCTCCTTAGCCTGAAGAGCCCCGCTTCAGTTTCCTAGCCAAAAATGATATGGTAGCTGATGGCAAACCTCAAAGTGCCATATCATTTTTGGCGAGGAAACGTACTGGACGTACTGAGTTGATCCAAGTCACAACTTTAGCTTCGTTGTCACAGTCTGCTAATGGCACCACCAACATCTCCGAGACTCCGATTTCTTCAAGAATATTGCAGCAAACTTCGGGTGATACATATTTACGTGTAACGTTTCTGGCTTGAAGGTGGGAATTGAGAGCCAGCCTCGGAGGCCCATTTGGTACTGGATGTCAGACCACGTTGTTTTACTGAACGACAATGGCAGATTTCCTGTAAGTAGAAAAAGAACAAAAGAGATTCATGTGCACAAACAAGGGGTAGCTGGGGTCAGCTGTGATCGGAAATCTACAAATAAATAAATATGTAAACGTGTTTGCTTGAACGTACTCACAGCCACGGCCCCCTTGAAATAGTTTTCGGAGCTGGTCCTTTCGGCCAGCTCAAGTTTGCAACAATACGAGGCCTATATGGAGTTTCTGGTGGACCGATTGATCTTTCACTCATCTTGATGCAAACCGAGTATGGAGCCTGTAAGGTAAGACGATTGAGGTGGTTGCGAATGCTGATATTTGATAGGACTTTGATTTCGCCAAGTACCTGCCAATCGGAAGGGAGTAACACCAAGGCCCAGGAGCCTGAGCCGATTTCATCAGGGCTGGTAAGGACTGAATTGATCAAGTTGAAAAGTTTATGCCCATGTTTAATCCCAGAGCCAGTGCTGATCACAGATTTTGGTGTGATCAAATCAAAATTGCCTCACTGACCGTGAGTGCTCAACTTCCTCCTCCTGATCTATTGAATGGGGATGTCAAATTTTACAATCTAATTTTTACAGAGGATTGTCCGTGTTAAACCAACTCATTGTAAAATTGCACAATACCCAGAAAAAAGCAAATTTGCAATGGACACACAAATTCAGGGTCTTTGTAACGACACCCATCACAAAGAGTCCAACGTAAATTTGAGTCTGAACCATTCCATTCACACATCTTGCAAGCTGTTTTTCACACAACCACCTCAATGTAAAATTAACCAATGTAAAATTACACAGAAAGCTGAATAATAATAATTTTACAATATCCTGTTCCACTTTACAATGGTCTAACACTGCAAAATTTACAACCAAAAAATAAAAAATAAGAGACCCGCACCAAAGAAGAATTTCAACGCAAACGCACAAAAGCTGAGACCCAAAAAAAAAAAATTAAAACGAGCGAAGGGGTACAAAGCCATTCAGAAAGAAATTATGTTGTAAAGATATTAATTTGAAAACATGTATTGAAAAAACCACCTATCCCCAGACCTCATTTGACGGCCCTGGCTCTCCGCTTACAACTACGTAACCCTTTACCTGGGGACTCTTGCGGTTGTGAGTCTTCCACCTCCATCAAAACCGGCTCCTTTGCCTCCACCACCATGTCCATAGAGATGTGTTTATTACATGACCCCATCTTCTTCGTTGCCTCCTCTAAGTCTCTAATGCGCCAATGCTCCTGCCAGTTGGCACGCGCACGCGCCTGAATGCGATCCCAATCAGTGTCATTCAAAGGAGCAGGTTTGAACGTGACCGAAGTACGCATTGCCGGAGTCTTTCGGGGGCGACCTCGCTTAGCCGGATGCTGCTTTGACGGCTCCACTATGGGGACCGTTTCAGTGGGTAGCGGGGGTTTATTTGAGGCTTGACTCGCCGGTAACTTTTTGGGTCGCACAGTCTTGATGTTTGGATCTGGTGCTGTAGAAACAGGAGCCACAGTCGCAGTCAGAGAGTCGGAACCGTTATTTGGACTGCTGTCTAGCAAGGTAGCTTCATGTCCTGTCGATCTGGATCCAGCAGCAATGGTTGCACACCGCCGTTGCTTTGGTTTTACATCGGCCTGGACCAGTTGTTGAGTGTCTGTGATTGGACACAGCTGTTGGGCATTCAGGGCAGTGGTGTCGTTTGGGTTCTTGTTTGCCAAGCGTATTCTAATCTTCAAGCTTGATGAACAGGCACCAAGATTTCTCGGCTCCTTCTCAGTCGCTAATTGAAGGTCAGCAGGGAAAAAAGTGAGTTCAATGAATCTACTGAAGCTGCTATCTCATTCAAATCAATTGGTTCCTTACCGATTATCTCATCATTAACACAAGCTTGGCTAACTACTACAGACGGTGCCAGCGTATTAAGCTGATCAGAGGCTGGTCTGCTGTTGTCGTGGGGAATCGGCATCGCTGCATGGTACGATGAATTAAGCACCAAACCCATCCCAATAAATGGGATTAGTCCCTCCTCCTTAACCTGGGGATTATCCCGCTTGATGCTTGCAATCCCTGCATCCGCAAAAGCATTCTCTTCAGGTGTCCACTGTCTAGAATATATAAGCCAACTTGTATGCTGTTGAGCTCCACTAATACTCCCCGGAACGGTGTTATCAAGACGAGCGATCCCGCTGTTTTGTCGGTTGTCATGCAACCACACAGCTGTGACACCATTCACATTTCGCAGCACTTTCCCCCAATAGTGAGATCCCGCCCCAAAAGCCTTGTGAGATGAGCGTATAGACTGTTCCGGATATGTTGAGCTTGAAAGGACAACTGATTGTGGATTGGAAGTCTTGTTGATCCTTTTCATTCAATATTTCCGCAAGGTCAATGTGAAAGTAAAGATGCGCAGGCGCCTCTCCATCAACAAACAACAGCCTGTTCAGTTCCTGCAGAAGAGGGCAGGAATTGACAGCTGTGATTTGTTTTCTGTTCTTCTTTCGGGTGTGATCTTGAGCCTTGCTGAGTCGACATTGGAGCCCTGAGACCCCCCGGAGTCCATTGGTTGTCCACTGTGAGATGAGTTCCTCGAGGTTTGCGCAGTTGATTTCATTGTCTACAAACATAGACTTCCAAATCCGGATTGCGGTACACTCTTGAGTAGATCGAGAGTTATCAATCGGAGCAGCGCCTGGATGATTTGCGCATGAAAATTCTCTTTTTTCCGATACCAAAAAGAGCTTGCGCAGGACCTTGGATGAGTTTGTCTTGGTATCCAAAAGGATCTCCATGAAGAAGTCCTGTGATGCAAATAATCCGTAACCAAACGATTGAGGATGGAGGTTTCTTGCGGCCTCAAAAATTGAATTGGAACCACGTGTAAGGATCGATCGAATCGATTTGCTCTTGGTAAGCTCCCAAGTTGATCTCGAATTGAAATGGCTCATGAGAAGGGAGAATAGATCTTTTTTTCTACCTTCTGGTTGCATCAGCCAGATTGGGCTGTAGACAGCATATAGCGATTCCAGAGCGGAGGCAAGCCAACAGCGATTCCTCTTCTTGAACTCGTTGGAATCCCCGTATGAGATATAAGTAACTGTTGGATGCCGTTCAATGTTGCGCGAATTAGGTGGCCTTCCCATCTTGGCCCGCTTGCGAGGTTTTTCGCTGTCATCCAGGAGAGCTGCAGTCGTATTGGGGGGGGCGGTGTAGTATGCCAATTGTGTTTCAAGTATCAAATTGCATAAAGTCACAGTTCAATATGTAGAAGGGCATATATTCTTAGGTGTATTATGGCATAATCACATTCTACGGGGCATTTAACCCATAGTCACTCACTGGAACCACTAGGCTAGCTCCACTCAGTCAAAAGTTATTTGGGATTTAAATTTTATTTGCATACAAAATGCTTATTGCATAATGTAAACCACAAGTTGGCCTTAGTTAGCTTACTTATTCAATATTCATTGCATAGGGTAACCACAAGTGAGCCACATTGTTTGTATGTACACTGAGAATCATGTATAGGGCTAGAACCACAAGTTGGCCATTTATAGATTATAGGTTAGGGCTAGAACCACAAGTTGTGTATATATAGATTATTGGTT